GCTTCCGTGGTTTCTGGCACATCAATAACCCTTGGGTCACAACCCCTGCGTCTTGTGCATGGATAACCCTCCGTAGCAGAATGAAACTGTTATTCTAGTTCCACACATTTAACTGCCTTATTACCTAGAGAATCCCTGACATCCATGGACATGCCACACACACAGAGGAATTGCCCACAGCAGGGGTGTTGGAACCAGATGATCTTTACAGTCCCTTCCAACCCAAACCCTTCTGTGATTCTATGAATCCAAGAGGAAGTGTACACCAGACCTCCCTCTCCTAATAACCACCCTGCCTTACATTCTGCTCCACCAATTCCCCCTCTGCTTCCTCTACCCCAGAACACCCATACCCACAAACTCCGGCAGCTTACTGAAGAGAGCACGTGTTACCTCAGAACTTATTCCCAGCAACATTCATGAATTATTGGAAGAAACGTATGTTATCCAAGATAAAAGAAAGGTGCAGGAGAACACAGCATTTTCTTTGAAACCAGAGAAACATGTACCTGAGCATAGAGTGCATAGCCTTCAGCACACTTTGGGAATTTTTTAATGACATCTTCAAAGCCTTTCATGGCTACCTGCACGGGCACAGCGTTATTTCCTGTGTAAGCCTGGCGATACTGTTCCAGAAAGAAAAAAAGATGAGAACGTGAAACAACCAAAACCAAAGCAAAGGCTAATCACACCTCTACCCCCTTCCCCAGGACATGCATCCATCAGAACAACTACCAGTCCCCGGTGGTGACGCGCCTGTACATCCCACCCATTGTTTTTAGGGTGCCCAAGTCCCTGGTCAGGTGGACTTGGAGAGGAGAAAGGGTGACAGAAGGAAGCTGTAAGGTCTGACAGTCACCAGCAGCCTCCCTCTATTTAAAGTAATAGAAACTTCCTGTCTAGAATTTATGTGATGCAATTAGAGTGAAGATTTGTGTTCCTCTACCACGATGCAGAAAAGATGACCTACTGTTTGAGCAAACATTTCACCGTGGAAGCAGCAAACCCTTACTCCAACTGAAGAAACTGTTATTTCTTCACCTTATAATTAAAAGATACTGAGGTGTTTGTTGCCCTGCTTTCCCATTAAACTGGAATAACACACAGAAAAACAGTGCTTTCCAGAGCTCTTGAAAAAGGAAAAGCACCCAGATGAACACCAGCATGTTACCTACCAGAGCGAAACATTTCTGTGCCTGTGCCAAAGCAGAGTCGGGTCGCAATCGGATACATTCATCAAAGTCTTCCACAGCCTCTTCAATTTGGTCAAGCAGGATTTTCAGCTGGCCAGAATGAAAGAAAATCCTATTTCTGCATTTAATCTGTGCTTCAGATACTTAAGTGATAATTCAGTTAGCACCAGCTACTCACATATTGTCTCCAGATCAGTTTTAGAACTGCCCAGAACCCTACAAAACCCGGGACTGAAAGTCCCTGCTATAAACCAACAAAGCTACCAGTGAAACCGACTGCTCTAGCATTACCCTCCAGCCTCCAAAACCATGCCGTATTTTCCTGTTGCTTTGCCTCGCTGTACTTAATGCCTGTGGACTATCTAGATGTTGGAACATTTTGGTTTTCCCAGCTGCATTTCAACTTTTGTTTTGTTTTGACAGTCTCGCTCCTCCACAAGAGCGAAGTTCACTTCATCGTTCTCTTCCTTTGCTGTGAACCTACTGTAAAACACTAGTTTTCAATCTGCAGGGAACAGTCATTCCCTTTAATCAGCACGTAACAGCATTCTTATTTTGGAGCACTAAAGAGACCTAATGAATTCATGGAGACAGGCACTTCATCCGTGCAAGTCTTCCTTATGGATACGATTTAGTATACCTGCATATGGCAGTGTTTCCTTTTTTTTTTCCAGCACCTTTCATATTACAGTTCCGTGGAAGCAGGACTCTCTAGGTCTAGAAATCAGTCAAGGACACAGCAGTGTCAGGAGCCAAAGAGGGCTGGGCTGAAGAGGTGGCAGTCTAGGCCGCAGTGCAGCGGCTGCAGAGTTACCAGGAACACACGCACATCCGCTGTAACTCAGCATCCGCCAGTGCAGCCGCTGCTCTGCCAGATCAGGGCCCTCCACAGAGCAGCTTCTATCTGCTGCAGACGCACTAGGACTTGTGTACACTCAAGTCAGAGTTCGTACTGAACCTTCCCTGCAGCTACAGAAATGAACTGCCGCTGCCTGACCTGAACCTGCTAACGAGACTGTCTGTTCCGCAACACGTCCCAGCAAGGAGCTCACGGGTTTCTGCCACAAACGGTACAAAGTGTCTCCGATGACGTACTGATCTTTATTCTTCTTTTAGTATATACTGAAATAAAGCATTGGGACAAAACCCCTGTTTCTTACTTGTCCTCGGTGGTGGTAAACATCTGCGTTCTGAGGATCAATATCGGCAGCCATGTTGAAGTCCTGAGTGGACAGCACAGGTTGCTGCTGCTGCATATACATACTTCCTCGTTTGATCAGAGCGTTAGCTCGGAGCTGTAAGAAAGTTCAAAGAAGCATTAGCCACTCCAACATTCCTCCAGATGGCTTTGTTACAGGGACAGGAAAATTTTCATTTGACTAGTTCCCTCCACAGACGGATTTCATTCATTCTAAGCAGGAATAAAACTTTCCCATTGACTCTAAATTAATCAACTCCCTTGCTTCAAATACGTCAGCCCATGCTTCCATCGCAGTGGATATTTCAACCTCCAAAACCCTTTATAAGACAGGTTCCCTGTGCTTACAAATAGGTCAACATTTTCTGCAGCGGTTCAATATGCCAGTACAATTGTCTTCAGGTCTTATCTATGAACTGATTTTTCAGACTGGATAAGCCTCCAATTGATTCAACTTCCCCTGTTCTTTAGTTTGTACTACTTAGCACAGGTGTCTCAAAAATCAGCAAGCCCTTGAAAGAAACAATTTGTCAGGAAAAAAAAAAAAAGACAAAACAGTAAATAAACCAGAACACTCCTATGAAAGTATCTGAACACCTGGGGGAAAAAAGCCCCTTCCTGACCCATACTGCAGGTTTATCATGTAACTTGTATACATTTTCTCAACCCAAACTACACTCCAGCTGTGACAGACTCTTACCTTCACATTTGCATCTTCCATGCTGATGACCTGATCTAGGTCTGGCTTGGCAGCATTTGCATTGCCAATAAGTAAGTAAAAAGTAGCTCGCAGAAGCAAAGCCTCTGCCATGTATTTCCCTTTTGCTTCGATCTCTTTTGTGCTTTCACTGATGATTTTGTCATAGTTCTCTTCTTCCATATACTGTTTTGCTCTCAAATAGCCGGAGCTGTGAACGATGCGAGAACAGCTGTATATATACACGCAATCACCCGACACTGCAATCTTAATTCAGATTTTTCTTTGAATCATAACAAATGCTATCTTTCGTTGTACTCAGTTACAACACCAGCATCTACGTTACAAGTATTCCTGGATGGAGCCATCACAGACTGAAAACAATTTATACAAAGAATGGTCAAATTAACATCAGAAATAAAGAGGAAGAATGCTTTAAGCTCTTGAATTCGAGTTTCATTTGTCCCTTGAATTTATTTTTTTCATATTAAGGATACTGAAAATCTCTCCCTTAAAACAAGAAGGCTGGATGGAACTGCAGGTCAGAAAAGTGAAATATTAAACCTAGCAATGTGCAGTTTATACCTGGAAGAAAGGATTTCACAGCAAAACATGCCTTGTCCTCAACTAAGTGTCCTGGATTCAATGAATCTGCCTGTAGATCAGGACTTTTTATCTTACTTATAAGAAAATAATTCATAACACTGTTTGCAATGGTTTCCATGCTGACAGCAGCGATATCTTCCAAAAATAAACTGGAAAGCAGCATAGTAAGTTAAAGCACTATTCATGTGGTACTCAAGAAAAAGGTCAAGCTTTTCTTTGTCAGGACAAACCTCTCATTTATGTGCAACTGGACTCCAGAAAGACAGAACACCCTTTCAGCCTCAGCTGCTGTAAATCCATAGTCTTCATTAACAAAGATCCTTTTCCTAGCTTGTCTTCTCCCTTCCAGTCACTTTCTTTTCCTTGGCAACATTTCTTCAGTATAAAACGTCCCTTTCTCCAGAAGCATCATTTGGCACTCTTCCTGCCCTCCCATCTCCTAACATTTACTCAGATACTGTAGTACACATTCAGCACATCTTCCCAATCTCACCGTCCTTCCTCTGTTTAGCAGGTCGAAGCCACCTACACTTTGGAGCTGGCCGGTCAGCGTTCATACACCTTTCTTTTCCAGTACGGATCTCGTTTCGCAGGCACACTTTATTACCCCAGGAGTTCTCATGCCAGGTTCATAAACACAACAGCAAGTTACACGGAGCAGAATGTCAAATCACTGAAAACTTCATTCCAATACCAAACAATTCCCAACTGTACCGTACACTCACTTTTCTTTTACTTCAGACGCCTCTCCCTCCTTATCCTTATCTTCATCTGATTTCTCACCCTTGAGCAAAGGCTGGGAGATGATATCATCTGTGAAAGAACTGAAGTAGGACTTAATGAACTGTGGCGAGGGCATCAGAGGCTCACGATTCTGAAACAGAGAAATGTAACTTCGTGTTATTAGATGTATCAGATGGTAAATATGGAAATGGATGAACAGTGTGATTATAATAAAAACATTCATGAAAGAACCAATGTATGACCTTCCACTATCTCGTTTAATAGTCTGCAATTTTTGATTTGACAGTTTGACATTTAGGGATTATTTAAGCTTCAGATCACAACACAATACCCATCACCAGTAGAAGTACAGTGAAGATGTTTAAGAGAGGAGGGAGATCGTATCTTTCTGCATGTGTGTCTAGAAATGAGGACTCTGAGGGTTTCGTAAGACCCTGGACAGATGTACTAAAGCAGTATGTGTGCACATAAACCGGGTGAAAAATGCAAACTGGCAGCTTAAGCATAAGCCTGAATTCAAGTAGATCCTGAACATCAATTTGCCCTTTCCTCCAATCTGTCCAAGAGAAGCCGCTGTCTGTCATTACAAGGAAGACTAATTGAGGCAATATCCTAATTCTGCGTGGAGCTTGGCCCAGACACCACACATTTTACTTGAAGTCCCAGAAGTGACACCCCTCAGGTACAAAACCCTTTCTACAGCCAAAAGATATTTACTGCTCAAAATGAACACTGTGCACAAGGATCACAATTCCATCTCCCCTGCAAGACAAGTCCGAAAGAATGCGCTCTTCTGAATTTCCCCTTAAGTTCCAGCATAGTGCTGCCTCTTGGAAGCACAACCTATTCATGATGCTACCACCACCACACGAACAGCACAATTCATTTTTTGGTACTTTGACACCACACGTTTATGTGAGTTTCTATAGGAAAGAAACTCAGCATCTCAAAACTAACATGGATTGCAATACTGCAACCACCGTCACAAAAAATGAGCGAGAACATTTTACTCCCTGTCCCAATGTTTTTGTAAACCTACAGCCACTTAAAACAACTGTTCCTGGCTACCCCGTGCTTCCACAGTTCTCTTTTCTGCAGTTTCCAAACCATAGCGCAGGCCTGAGCGCCAAAACAGAAGGGTACAAGCCCCTGCTTACAGAAACAGCCCAGAAAGAGCCTGCAACTGGGCAACACAAGTCACCCGTGGCAGTGAGGAGATGAAGACAGATTTTTGACAGAATCAAGAAGTCTGACCGCTACTAAAGAGATGTGACTTTGCACTCATAATTTTTTCTTAAGCAATGCTTTTTTGCTTTTCTTCTTTTTTTTTAAAAAAAGAAGAAAACCCAACCTTAAAACAGTATTATTTGGCTGCTTTCTTAAATGTGGGCATTCTGCTGCCAACTTGATCTTTCACACACGAAACTCCTATTTATAAACCCAAGAATAACCTGAGTGAAAAAGGCCTCAATCATCATTCTTAACATTTTAATCTATTCGTTACATATGCAACCAACACTTCTACACATTTCCAACTATTGTTTATAAGCCTTCCTATCTCACACACACCCCTAAGTAACCCCCTGATGTGCAACTGAACATGTGGCTCCTGCTGTTCCAGGATACAGTTTCCATTACGCTGCCAGCCCAGAAAAGCCCCATGCAGCGTAGCACACCAACTCAGGCTGTCTCCATAATGTCATAATAAACGTACTAAAGGGAAACAACCGTTAGAAATAAACCCCTCTTCCCTACTGAGGTTTCAAAAACCTTTGGAGAGGTCCCAGAGGAAAACGCTGGTACAATAGCAGCCTCGTACAAGCCCCTTCGTGTCATTCCTTACACCTGAACAGATGAAGACAGTGACTCACAACTGACAGAACGCCAGCGACCAACATTTCCACAACCAGCCCAATGAAATCAGAGTTTGTCAGCAGTATCCGAAGCCCTACCTTGTATTTCTCTTTGGCCTTTTCTTTCCCAAGGAGTTTAAGAACTTTGTCAGCTAACAGCATACTTTGCTGGTTTTGGAAGGCTTCTAAAATGCAGACTGCAGTGACATCTAGGAAGCAACAGACAAGAGTGAGATTAAAGACAAGTTCTGGTAGGCAGCAGAGCACACCAATAAGTGCCACTGTTGCAACGGGTCACGGCCAAACTAATACGCGTCCTCTCCAAGGGTAAAAGCCACTGTTTCCAGTCTGCTGCATTTGCCAGGTTTTCCAAGATAGAAATTTGTATCCCAAATGATCTCCTTGTGACAAAAGGACTTCATGACAGTAGGAAAGAAATTGCGTTCATTTTTATGTTCATGTTTTTATCTAGAGACGAGCACACTTAGACGAACAGTGAGAACATGCACCTCCCAGAGGGGCTTCCACCATTCGGAAACTTTGAGGACAGTAATTATGCTCCTGTTATGTTCGCATTAAAAGTGCTAACACAGCTTCTCTTCTGGGACTGGTACTAATTTTCCACTTTTAAAATTTAAATTCGGTCTCATCACATCTTGCTTCTTCCTCAGTTTAAGAAACCTTCCCATATTAGATGTCAATTTTTTCTGCTCACCTCCGTGACTTTGGAATGGAGCAAATTTAAGAGGAATACCTTGCTGCCCTATTTAAAGTGCTACCCCATATCACACCACCTTAGTCACACACAGAAGCCGCTGCACGTGTTAACCCACTGTGGTCCGAAGCAAGCTTTGCAGTGTGAAACGCGCTCTCATGGCGCACTGATGTTATTTCTCCAGATCCTCCAGTTAATGCAATGCCACCACTGATCTTTCCTATTTAATTTTCACGTGAACATCAGCAGAGATGAGCAGAGTTTGGACTTGACACTCCTACAGTGCATTGTTTGAGCAGACATGAAAAGCAAGCGTCTTACCCTGGAGTTTTAGTATCGTTTCTGTAATTCTACACTGCGACAGGTACTATTATGCCACCATTTATACAGAAATTCCCAGCAACACTGACATGATCAAGAAGCACACCAGAGTCCCCGGGAAAACACGCTACATCCCGAAAGAGTCTGCAGTGATACCATGCTGTATGATCTTCGCAGATAAGGAAAACTAGTGCCTGGACTTGGGTGAAGCAGCAACAGCTTCCCAAATTATACTGCCAGAGATCATTGGAGCACGGGTTTGCTGGTGGTGGTGGGGGTTTTGAGGGGTTTGTTTGGTTTTGCTTTCCTCCACTACATGGACATACCCTAGTTCCTGGGACTTTCCTGGCCACACGCTACTGGCAGGTAAAAGCAGTATTGTACTAGAAAACCAGTCTAGTTAAGAAAAAGCAAGTAATTCTCAGATCTGAAAAAAATGCAAGTTAAAAATCAAACACAAATCAAGGCTAAAAATAATTGCTACAAACATTACTGCTACTGACACTGAAAAGGAGTTACCTTTAAAAGCTACCCTACTACGGCAGGGACACTTCATCTTTCTTAGGGCTTTTATCATCTGTCAGTTTATCACAACTACAGGAGCTTTACATTTTATGATAGTACTCTGGAAGTGCAGCTGTTAGTTAATTAGTGATTGCAAAGGACTACACTAAATGACCTAAACAGTCCTTTCCTATTCACTATGGTCTTACAGGGCAGAAAGGCTTTCTGCCAGCAGATGCATAAATAGATAGAAAAATAAAATTTCCATGTCTTATTTACCTTCTAATTTAGCAGACCTAATTCATAGCTCTTACACATAATGAAACTAATTTAACAGATCTGCCAGTCAGGCCACTGCCTTATTTTCTGTCCTTCTTTGATAATGAGCACAGTTGAACTATGGTCTTACAGGGCAGAAAGGCTTTCTGCCAGCAGATGCATAAATAGATAGAAAAATAAAATTTCCATGTCTTATTTACCTTCTAATTTAGCAGACCTAATTCATAGCTCTTACACATAATGAAACTAATTTAACAGATCTGCCAGTCAGGCCACTGCCTTATTTTCTGTCCTTCTTTGATAATGAGCACAGTTGAA